CACACCCCTACTCAGAGCAGTCATGATAACGTTCAAAGGGTTATTTTAGTGTATGTATTTGTTTCGTTTTTAGAATATGCGATATTTATACAAATTTTGTGAATAAAAAAGTTAGAAAAACAAAGTATTGCGACACGGAAGTTATTCTGTTCGCGTATACGCAGGACGGATCAGGTAGTGACAGAGAGCAAAATGTATAAAGCCAGGTTGTGTCTGTGTGTTTTATTGTTTCTCTCAATTATCTGTCTGATAGTAGAGAGAAACGAACACATGGAGAAACAATAGCTCCATGTTTATCGAATGTAAACTGTTGTTTCTGCTTGTTAGATTAGAAGCGACTGGCGCGGCGTGTTGACGTCCGTACGTTGTGTTGAATGGTGTGATGGAACTTAGCGGGTCTTTGGTGTTCCCACAGCATGCCGGTCAGATTTTAACACTGGTCACTTGCCGAGGCATTTGACTCTGGTAAACATGCGTCAGTGAGCTGACATTAGTCCTTCAACATTCTTCCAAATAAAAAAAAGTGGATTTTGATTAAGTTTATTTGGATGTTTAATGTTCTGTTCACTACGTGAATCATGTTATATCAGACAACGATCTTACTAACGATGTAGAAGGTCTCTTAAAAGCTTCAGATATGATGCATTTTGTGTTAAAGGTTTTTCTTTCATAAATGATTGATCTGCTTTATGGTTTATATTCTAGCTCTAAAACATGATTAAATTTGCTCTTTTTACAACCCGTTTCCCTTTAGGAGCAGTGATGTAGCAGCAATGAAAAGCCTCCATCTTGCAGCCATGAGTGAACTCCAAGAGGCATATAACAGCTCGCAGAAACAGATGGAGGATATCGCCACAGAGCTGCAAAGGTGAGCATTTCCTGGAGTTCTTCTGCTTTAAAGTCTGTTTGATTCATGTTGCCTTTAGAAGTTTGAAGTTCTGTCCGTATCCCGGCTTCACACGATGCTCGTCTTCCTTTTTTCAGCACCAAAGAGGCTGTAAAGGAAGCTGAAGGAAGACAGAGGGAACTGGAGGCGGAGGTGGGGAGAGTGACCTGTCAGCTGAAGGAGGCCATGGACAAAATGGTTGAACAGAAGGAGGAAGAGATCAATAGAGTGAGGGGGTGGACCGACGAGCAGCAGGAGAGACTGGAGGCTGAAGCAAAAGCAAGGGAGGAGAGTTCAAGGTATTCTTAAACCTCACCGCGCTTCTGCTAAAATGACTTTTCCAGACTTTTTAGGTTTTTAACACTAGGACTTTCTGATCCTACTACAGGTTTCCCACAGATCCTTAAACGGTCTTAAAAGGCTTCGAAGTCTTTAATATAAAAATGTCTTAAATTAGGGATGCACGATATTGGGATTCTGGCCGATATCCGATATGCCGATATT